CTTAATCATCTGAATAATTCCTTTTATATATAAGTAAAAGTACAAGTATTGCCCCAAATGTTTTGAAATCAAAAGCATTCTATTTCTTTCCATATTATTTTATTAAGTATGACAGAAAGATTTTTATGTAATTGATATCATTCATTTAACACTATTTAGGGTAGTTCTCTTGCTATTTCTCTAAAGTTTTCTGATAGATAATAAGAAATGTTTTTGAAAATTTTCTGGCCATTATCTGTCCTAAATTTAAGTCTAGTTTAATTTGAAATCATTAATTTTGATGCAAAACAAGGTATCAGGTGTAAGATGCAGAATTCTTTTTGAATATAGTATAAATCAGGAAGTCTTGGACAAAAATATACTGCAACATCCATTTTGTATTAGCTGGAAAGTTATCAATGAAATCTATGTTGTTTGGGAAAGATATAGGTAACCACTCTATCATAATCCTGACATGTTCTGTCAATCTCATTAAACTAAAGATATTGTGAAGGGACAAAATTCTAATTTATAAGAATATATGCAATATAAATCTAAATGGCAAGCCATAAATTAGACACCCTCTAAAAAAATAATTACATTGGTTTTCTATAGTTACATCTTTGCTAAAATGTAATAATTTTGATTTATAATTAGAAGACAATAGGACATAAAAACTGAAATCATGTAATCAAAAGCATTTTACAACTGTTACATTGTCAGAAATATAGTTTCCTTTCCAACTACTTCCCTCCAAACTAGTTGGAAAGGAAGCTACATTTCTGACATTCTATAATGCAAATATAGCATTTCTGTCATCTTCCATCAATTACGTCTTGCATCTCTATCCTCGCTCAAGGCTTGTTATTGGCTAAATAATCCATGACAGTAAAGTTCATATTGCTTCTGCAAGAAGTTCCATCTTTTCCCCACCAAATAAACTGATGATCTACATTAAAGCCCCCATAGTATCTCCTGGTTTTTAAAAGGTAGTCAAGCCATAATAGCTCAGCAAAATTGTCTTGATTAAAATGAAAACTTCATGTTAACATGAAATATGTCTGCAATCTCCCTTCTCATTCTGCCCTCATATATTTCCCTCCTGAACCGATATTCCTGTCCCACAGTAATAGTTTTTCATACTAAACACACTTCATCATTCTTCTGGGTAACTTTAGCCTTCAATAGGTGCTAATGATAGCACTGTAGCTCATTCAAGGGCAATTCAGTGGCTATAGAACTACTGCATTGTAATTGTTAATCTTAAATAGTCTTGGATCAAGGAAAACCAGGTACAAATCTCTATTTGACCATTTAGCACATTGGATGTTTCAAAGGACTGCCACGGATGGAATAAAATCAGGAGGGCTATAAATCAAGCGGGATATAAATACTAAAGACTAGGTATTGTGTTCTCATTGACTTCATAGATAAAGTTATGCAGGATTGAGCCTAACACAGATTTCAATGACTTATTTCCAATTGATATTCATTGTGTAAATGTATTTACTTATGGGTAAATTATACTAACGAAATTACATGTAAATTATATTTGATTATAAGCTTCCTTACCTCATATAGATTCATAAAAGTGAACTTACTTTTTACTGCACATTTGTAGTAGTGGCATTAAGATTTCCCAGTCCTATTAATGCACAGGTTAATCAATATTTTTATCTGTTTATTTTATTAAATTTATTTGGCTTCTATCTTGCCATGGAGCTACTCTAGGTGGCTTACAATAATAAAAAGGAAGAAAATGAAAGGAGTGTAATCAGAAGTTAAATAATATAACCATTAAATAAACAATGAAAAAGAACACGAGAATTCATCAATATGACAACCCAAAAGATGGATGTTTGGAGAGCAGAGAGCAAGGAGGAAAGGTGGAGTCTACCATCAATTCTGCAGCCTCCTCCAGTGTGGAATTCCCCCATTTAGTCACCAGGCAACCGACAGATCCAGGTCTTCAGGCTCTTGCAGGATAGGAGGGTAGAGACAGATCTTCTTTTAGACGGTAAGGTACCCCAAAGGGCGGAAACAGCAGCAGAAAAGGCTCTTCTTCTTGATCCTGATAGTTGGAGTTCTTTGACTGACGGCATCCAAAGTAGGCCCTTTCTGTTGGCACAAGGATGGGCTTGTCCTGGCAGGACGAGATGGTTCATCAGATAGCCTGGACCTATGCCATCAAGGGCTTTAAAGATCATAACCAACTACACTCAGAAGCAGACCTATAGCCAGTGAAGTTTGAGAAACAGAGTGTAATATGGGCCATCCTAGGGGTCCTAAAGATTACTCTCACTGCTGTACTTTGCACAAGCTGAAACTTCAGAATGAACTGCAAGGGTGCATTGCAATAGTCCAGGCAAGAGATAGCCAGGGCTTGAGTAACTGAATGCAGGAAGTCATGACCCAGGAAAGGTGCACAAATCAGAGCAGTATATAAGTTCTCCTGGAAACACTCGCCGACTACACTTTGAGCAATAGATGTGAGTCCAGGAGAACCTTTAAGTTGCAAACTGGGTCTTAACGGGATAGTAGAACTCTGTCCAGTTAGGGGTGACCAACACTCAAATCCTGAGGCTCAAAGCACCCAGTCTTGCCAAGATTCAGTCTAAGTCTGTGGTCCTTCGTCCCGATCCCTACAGCCTCCAGGCATCACAAGGCCATTGCCATTAAGATATCTCAACCCATGTGAGCTATTACTTATTTCAACTGTTAATCCCCAACTCTATCATGCATTATCAGGTTGCTATTAATTAAATCTAGGGAGACAATTGTGAGCCGTCAAAGAGAGAGCTTTTTTGTTTCAATTTTTATATTACATGAGATGACGAAGATAAAAAAATATTTTTCCTAGTTCATATGTTTGTTTTTTCTCCTAAGGTTCGCAATTTGAGCCTAGTATCTTTTAAATATAATCTTTGTGCTTAGAATGGTGAAATCTTGAACTGGAACTTCTAATTACTTACTTGTTCTCCCTGTCCAGTTTGAACAATTTCCTTGCTATACTATGCACAAGTTTCAGAAAAATTGCAAACCTGTTCTGCATTAATATATCTTCAAAAACAGTATATTATTGTCTGTCCAACCTGATGCATATTTACACTGAAGGAAGCCCCTTGCATTAAACACCGGCATTGGTATGCAGTAATATTTTAACATAAGAGAAAGTGAAGAAAAATAGAGTCTGGTGAAGGATGCTATTTATAGTATCAATATATTGAAAGTCAGTAGGCAATCCATGCAATCAAAATGCACAAACATTAAAAAAAGAATTAACTAACAACAATATTAGCATACATTTCAAATATGAATCTTTGTTTAATCAGACATTCCTTCAGAGATGAGGGTTTCCTTTTCTTTTCCTAGCTTAAGGTACACTTCAGTGCAGTCTTCATCTAATCCAGAATCTGAAATATTATAATTAGAATTCCTTGTAGAATCAATTAACATAATCATGTGCTGCTCATATTAGCAGTTGTAATACATTAACAAATGGAAGAATCTCTTTAATGAGTGTAGATAGGTATAATGCTTTATTTCCAAATATTTCATCACCAAATTAGTTGTTTCCCACGTAAGAACATTAACTTCCATCCATGTAATATGTACACTACAGTGAAGTTATTTGAAAAATACAAAATGCTTAGCAAATTACAATTGCCATGCTTTGTACATTTATTAAGTTCGCAATGACTATATTATTGTTATTCTTTGTGCATGTATCAACATAACAATACTAGTAATGCTTAGATTACATATGCTTGCATAATAGGATTAGAATTTCAGTTTTAAAAGTATGTACTGTATGTACTGTAAATGAGAAGGAAGGATTCACTGGAGAAGAGCCTAATGCTGGGAAAGATTGAGGGCAATAGAAGAAGGGGACGACAGAGAATGAGATGGCTGGATGGAGTCACTGAAGCAGTAGGTGTGAACTTAAATGGACTCCAGAAGATGGTAGAGGACAGGAAGACCTGGAGGAACGTTGTCCATGGGGTCGCGATGGATCGGACACGACTTCGCAATTAACAACAACAACTGTAAATATATTACGGTCATATAAATTCGTTTTTAAAAATCCAGATACAAAAAAACCCAATCCATTTAAAATTATAACTTGATATTTCTGACAGATTAAAACCATTTTAAGTCTCAAATGCTTTGTAATTTGAGACTATGCTAAACAAATATGCCTAGAAATCTTGAAATGCAGATAGCAAGGAAAAAAATCCTATTGTTCCATTTTATTCCACCATTTTTCAAATTCTTCCTTCTATTTCTCAACAATTGGGGTCATACAACATGCTTACCTTAAGTATCAAATGAACTCTTTTTCTGGGTACTCACAACACACTGCATTTTTAACTGAACAGTTTTGTGCAAATAAATTTTTTATTTGTGCAATAAAAATAACTAAAGTTAAAAACCAGAAGCAATGGCAAATCACTTCCAACACTTTATCTAGAAAACTGTAGGGATTTGTCCAAGGAGTCGCTAGAAGTCAAAACAAAAGGCACCAACTTCCCCGCCCACCGAGCTCTAACCATGTTTAATTAATTATGTAAATATAATAATCAGATCTTTAACTTACCTGATTAACCATACTATGTCAACTGAATCAACAAAAAATAAACACAGGGTTCAATCTTGTGCTGATATAAACTAGCATGTTTGTCTGCTAGTACAGTATATGATAGCATTGTAAGGCTGACCTTATAAGGGTAGGAAGCTAAACAGGATCAAGCCTATTTGGTATATAAATAGCATATATATAATAGCATGCCTGTATGCTCTATACTGGAAGATCCTGAAAGAAGACCTTTTCTTCAGTGTTGAATCCACTCGTTCAAAACCAGCATAGATATATCCAATAATTCACTGAGCTGAACTCAAGCCCGTTTTTATAATATTAAAAATAACTAGAACTACTAAAGCATATTTAGCACATTACTGACAGTATTAATTTTTTAATAAAATATTAAATGAGGTAAGATTGTCATTTATTGTCATTGAAATTTCAAATTAGTTTTCCATTTATTTTTGTATATTTCCAACTAAAAAAGTTAATAGAGGCAAGTAATGAAGACCTCTATGAATTCCAAAAGAAAACTTTTTCTTAAGATGTATTTGGACAAGCAGCCTTAACATTGTCAGTAGTAGCAACAGTTTGACAAACGTAACAATATTAGTTGAACTGGCAGGCAAATTCAGTCTCTAACCACTATGTCATTATATAATTTTTGAAACATAAAAGAAAAAATAGTAACTAGTGTAACACCCATCAACAAGCTAATGGGCATTCATCTTTTTAAATTTGACTTCAATTGAATTTAAGATTCAAGGATAAATAAAAAATACTGAAAGCAAAACACACAAGTAAATTATAACATATAAAAGTTTTGATGCAACAATAGCTAGTTTGGAAATATAGGAATTAATTCAAACCTTTTTTGTCACAATATATTTTCATTAATTAATGAGAACTATGAAAAATAGTATATAATATGAATTTTGTAATTCCTGTGTTTCAAATTAAAAAAGCAAGCATTTATGATTCCTCTTTCAATAAGCAGCTTTCATCAGAAAATTCATCCTGCCCATGAACAAGAAAAAGAAAACAATTCTCTAGAAATATGACCAATATTACACAAGACTGATGTTATAGCTGAAAAGCAGATGGGACAACTGCACAGATATGTTTCTAATTTGCTAGGAATGAACTGTCACTTCCAAAATAACCCAGACACAGGTTGATGGGAAAGACGAGTATCATTAAATTCTCTAAACCAGGGGTGTCAAACTGGTGGCCCCTGGGCCAGATGAGTCACATGCAGGCCACACCCACCCCGGCTCCACAAAAGCAAAAAATGTTGCGATACATTACGTGATGTGATCAAGTTTGATACCCGGGATTTAAATCAAGAAAAACCTGTACACAATTACAGAAGGAGTTGGTTGTTCTGCAGCTAGATAACAAATAGTTGAATTAGTGAAGGCTTTCTTGAATTTAGACAATTTTTACAGTATCTCATGCTTAGCTCCCACTAAGAGAATCATGATTCAGTTTATAAAGATACATGGCTCAGTGCCTAACTTCTGCTGGAAATCAATAGCCAGTCCATACATTCAAGGGAATATAATTCAATTGATATATACAATGACTATCATAAAATAGCTTTCCCAAATTTGTCTCCAAGCTCACCGATTCTATACCAGAGTTTCTTAAACTTGACAACTTTAAGATGTGTGGACTTTAACTCCCAGAATTCTCCAGCTAGCAGGCTGAAAGTTCAAGTCCACACAACTTAAATTTGCCAAGGCTGAGAAACACTCTTCTATGCTCTTCATAATGGGGACTGGGAATTCTGGGAACTGCAGTCTTAACTATATATAATTGATGGAATTAACAATAGAGCTCGATGGCTCAATATGAAGGATTTTTTTTTCTCTATGAAAGAAAATTTGCTTTTTAACATCAGTATTGCATTTCTTTCCCTGAATATAGTATTCTGCACTCTATCAGAATTCTGTTCAAATCATAGTTACAGCAACTGTGGTTTTTTTTGGGATAAATATATACTAGCTAAATAGCTTTAAATAAAAATGAGGTAAAATTAGTGGTGTTTGAAAATTAATGACTCAATGCTTTACAATATAGACATTACTTTTCACAAAGATTCTAAATGTTTCTTGTGAAAATGTTCCTGTTTAATATTCCAAGAAGATTATAGAATATATTTCTAAATTGAATGAATTTCATTCTTCATCCAACATGGAGAAAGCACTGGCCCTAAGAATCTCCATGCAATTGACCAGGATCAGAGCTCCAGTTATTTCTCGCCACTGTTTGGTCACAGGATTTTTCATTTTGTCCAAAGCTAAATGCAGGTCTTGCAACATATCTCTGTAGCTATCTCCATAGTGAGCACTCCAGGTATAGAGAAAATCATAAGCTGGTTTCCACATCATCTGAAATTTAACAAAATCATGTTTAGATGCAAAACAGTTCAGTAATAAGTGGACAAAACTGCATACAAACATTTGAAGTCAGATACTGAAGTTTGTCTGCCTGCAATTTTTCATATACACATCTGGACCTCTGTGCAGAAATTCATAAAACACAATCAACTATCTTGCTTTTATGCTAAATTCAAGTCAGTTATATAACCACGCTTTTTACAACATAGAACATAGCTTAAAATATGTACTCATAATAAGCTAAATATGTGAGAGAATATACTCAGACATAGGCAGGCCTTGAAATACCATGGCCCCACCCTAAAAAGGGCTTTGGGCATCAAAGTGGTATTTTGATCTGGATCCAGAAATATAGGGATAACCAGTACAAATAAGACAGCAAACCCAAACTGGGAGTTATAAGAGACAGCATGTTACATAGAGAATCCCATCAGCATCTCTCATTCTAGTGACTAAACCCGGCAAGTGTATTCTGCACTCATTGCAATTTCAAAACAAAAACAACATAACACAAGCTAAATCAAAACACAATGTGGCAGGATGCAGTGTGTGCTACCCATTGTACATTGTGTATCATGCATAATACCTGGCAGTTGCTGCAGCACAGATAACCATGATTAAGCTATCTTGCAATTTTGTTGATCCTTTATATTTTTATGATTTCATAGCCTTTCAATGCATTATGCTTTATACTGCCTTTTAAAATTGTTATTACTTTAGATGAACTTTATTAAAAATATAACAGATACAAAATAAAAATACTTCATACTTAATATACTAACAGCAGCTCTAACTATTTGGCAGAACAATGGTTTATTGGTAACTACAATTACCAAAGGTCTGAAATTATTATCAGTGGAAAGTGGGTAGAATGTACACATAACAACTTCATGCATTCTTAAAATTAACCATAATGCTTTTACATATTGATTCAAATAACAGATATTATGCAGATATTATACTGCAGAAACTGACAGCTTAAAATTCAGTCATGTACAAATACATATTTAATATGAGAGTCCACTTAATATGGATCCAAGCAAACCAGGAACTGAAAATAACATTCTTATTTATGCATATTACAATTTAAAGTATAGCTATCACTGAGGCTTTAATTTCCAGCACAGAATAAAGGACTGATACAATTCTATGATTGTACAAAAAGATTTATCACAGTAAAAGTTTGAATGCCAAGAATCATCTTAAATTTATACTAAAACTGAATAAATTTAAGAATTTCTAAAAATACAGAAAACTATAAAGAGAAAATACAATAGATTATATTCTAAGAACTAAATGAGAGTTTACATTGAGGAAAAAGAAGAAAAACAATTGGTTATCAAAACTAAAAATAGTCCTATTGTCAAAATTTAACCAATCTTACTTAAATCATCCATTTCATCAGCCACCTAGGACTTGTATAGGTTAGGTCAATCCCTTCAATCAGGGTATGAACAATAGTATTCCAAATCATATATTTAAAAAGTATTTAAACTCTCTTATCTGTTTGTAACCTTCAATTAGTCCAGACAGTACATCATAGTGCTGCAACTATTGAGTCAAGGTATCTCAAATTCATTAACTTAAAGAATATGTACAAAATCCAGAACACGTTAGTCCTGTGTAACTGAAATTTCAAGAATCTTCCACAACAATTTTAATCATAAATTTGTGGCTGCTGCAGTTCCACCAGTTAACTGCAGTCACATGATCATGATTTCCGATACTCCCTCCCAGCTTCCCACAAATAAGGTCAATGGGGAAGCCAGCAGGAAATCTGAAGTCACTTTCACCCCTACTGCTTTTTTGCCCTCTTATGGTCTTTCTATTTATCTTTTTAGCTAGGGAAATATATCTGAAAGAATGACCCAACAGATTATGGATTGCCTAGTAATTTCTAAAGTAAAAATTCAGGAGTAAATTCAGGAGTATTTGATAGGTGTTTAAGATTAAAAAAAAAATTGAAAGGTTATACTCACTGTATAGAGAATATATTCTCTTATCTCTATCAAGAGTGCTAGATAAGTTTTTATCTCTTTTCAACACTTATTTTTATTTAACTATAGGTATTGTTAATAGTGAGACCAAAAACTTATTGTATTGTACATACTGTAATAAAGGAATGAAGGAAAACTGAATTTATCATGGAAAGTTGACTTCCTCTCTCAGGTTTCTCTTACAATGTCAATTTTCAGTTTAATGGATTATACCTTTTGTAGCAAATGATTATAAGAGAAATATTGTGAGACTTACCTCTGGAGCAACTTCTCCATTTTTGCTATGATGGGGAGTTTCATAAGCATCAATTTGTTGTTTTGTAAGTCGTGCTAATTTTTCTGCCAACTCTCTCCAGCTCTTCCCAAGTTTTACCGCTGCAGTAAAAATAACTGTATCCTGAGTAATTCGGGCTACTAAGCCTTGGCAGTCTAGCTTTAAAAGTGCCTGCAAGCACAAATGTGATGGTTATGTTTTCAAACAATTTTAAATAACAAATAATTATAGTACAATTATAGCATAACCATTTGGAAGCAGTATCTTTTTATGATCATTTTCCCCATACTATTTATGAATCTGGGTTTTTTTTTTTTAAATAGAAAAGTGGTCTAGAGATTAAAAACAATTGTTGTGAGATTTTAGACAGTAGAAATATAAGGATTATACATTATGTTGAAATGTTCTTATTCTAACTGAAATTTATCCTGATGCATTATGGCTTGAGCTTAGCTGCAAGGGTGCTAGAGAAGAATAGCATAAAAATCAAATAACCTGGCATCTCTCTCTCTTCCTCCCTCCCTCCATCTCTCTCTCAGCAAGGGCTATAGTCATAAGACTGTGACTTAAAAGTTACATGACAGCTAACCTAATATTTAGGTTTTTTTCCATATTCTCTTTTAATGTCCTACTTTAATGCCTTTGACTGAGTAAGGTAAGTAAAAGCTTGAGGAAGTGAACAATTCAAAGGTTCTAAAAATGTCATCTATCATTAGCTGAAACTGAATATTTTTATGTAAGAAATATGCAGGACTGTGAAAGTGTCATGGATCTCCAGCAAATATGAATATTATTACCAAAATATTTCTGCATAATGGCAATGCACTTTCTGGACGTATTGGAAAGCCCCAAACCAAGTGATCTGCAACATTATTACTCCATAACACAAAAAACAGCACTGTTAGTTACATAGGCCTAACTCACGCAATATGATTCATTAAAATACATTTATCCAGAAATGTGCAGGGAACTGTGTACCCTATGTCCCTTTTTTCCCTTCAACTATAATCCTACAAGGTAGACTGAGCAGAAAACAAGACCAAAGAAGTTTAAAGTAATAAAGTAAGGTTATGTGGCTACAGGTGGGCTTCAATCTGAATCTCTCCTCTCCCAGTCCAACACCTTGAACATTATATTAAATTGACTCAGCTATCTTGTTTGGTTCCTACTGACCTCAAAATTGGGTAAACAGATTGGGGAAATTTATTGTGTTGTTTGCATCTAAAATCCCTGGCCTGTCCTCCAAACAGAGTTGGATACCATGGTTTATACTCCATGTCACCTCTTGTTTGACACCATGTATCTTGGCTTGTATGCCATGACTATGTTCTGCTTATCCATTCTTATGGGTTGAAAGAACAAGGAGCAATCGAACCTAGCCAACTATGAAATGAAAACATTCCCAATGATATTTATTACAAATGTACTCATATTTTAAAATACTGACATTTTAAAAACAAATGATTTAGCTTGATTGTTCATCTATCTAATTAAAAGGATGACATATTCTTAAAAAATAAATGTTATAAAAGAAGAGATAGAATCCTTTTCCTGTAAGCAATTCTTGTAACTGTAGAGAAATAATGAGAATTCCTTAGGTATCCCTTGACAATGAGAAAAGCCATGCTTGTTATTTTTAAGCTATATGGCTTTTGTAACTTTGCTAACAAGCACTGTGACACAGAAACAAGAAAAGGGTTTTTTATTTCTATTGTAAAACTTGGCACTCTTCATTTCTTCTTCCTACCTTCCTCATTTTTTTTCCTTCCTTCCTTCCTTCCTTTTTTTCTTTCTTTCTGTTACATTTAGTGACTTTAGTGATATTACAGAACCCCTATTTTTTAATGATACATGTAATTCTAATATCTGTAAATCTAATTATATTAAAATCTGGGAATTGCACAAGACATGCAGAAATTTCCCTGATTACAATTAAAACGGATTTAAATAAAGGAGAAAACAGAAAAGAATATATTTTTGAAAGAAAGAATCTGCTGAGTGATGATGGTGATGATGATAGTATTGGTAAATACTTTAATCTTGTATTTCTTCACATAATTGAAAGCAAAACTATCCTATAACATGTATTATGTTCAGATGAGACATTCTAAAATCTAAATGGACAAAATCTTCCCATTTATGCTCCAAGACATTTTTGACTATCAAGTTCCATAAAATTCAACAAGCATAGAAAATCTCAGGGGTAAAACAAAGTTGTACGTGGTGGAATGAAATGGGTAATTGGTTTATTTAACTGATTTATTTGCAATACTTGTGTGGTCACCATCTTAAGAAACACAACTCTGGATGATTGATAAGAGATACATAAAACCAAACATTATAGAAACTATAAAAGCAAAAAATATAAGCAAAACTAAATTTCCTTGACCTTGGTAACACCACCATCTTCCAGTGAACGTGACTTCAAAATATACTGAAGTGCGAATTCAGTATCTGCCTGTAAGTCCTTATAATAGCTATTTCTTTTCCTAGGATTGCGTAATGCAGTTGCTTTAAGCCATTGCAAAAAGGTGCTACATTCACCATCTGATACTATATACCCATTATAATTACCTGATTAGCAGGAAGTCCAATTTGATTTAATGCTGGGTGTGAATGTGTGTGTTGGAGGAAAGGGGGGTTAAAAAGACAAGAGTTTCAAAATACTAGTATTTTCACATTCAGCTTCGTTTAAACAATTTCATTATAATCCAAACAAACCTATAAACACAGATGAACACAGATGGAAACACAGATGGTGAAAATGAAGTACCAAGCCAGATTATTTTAAGTTGCATTCCAGCTGCTACTCACCCAAGACAATCTTTCAAATTTAAAACCATCATTGCTATCAACTCACAAGCTATGAGCTAAAATAGGAAGGCCAATATCATAACAAGTCACATTAAAGACTTATGTCTTATTTGCTTCTCTTCATCTGACAGCCCATCCCAGCAGTACTTACCACAGAGAGTTCATATAGGAATCGTCTTGTGCTTCTATGAGTATGGCAAATTTCTTTAAGTTTCTTCATAATATACGCTACTTTTTCAGACTCTTTTTCAATTTGTAATGCATTTAAATCATAACGGGACAAATCTGAAAATTGAAGAGCATCAGCCAAAGCTTTCCAATCATTTAAGTTCTCTGATACTGTGGATAAGATTGTTGAATAGATATAAGTCATTTTTTTAAAAGGTAATGCAATTTGTTCAAGGAGGCTACTGGTCATGATTTCACTATCCTCAACATCAATAGTTTGGTTTTCAGTTATCACTTTGATATTTTTGCAGTGTACAAGGCCAACTTTTCTTCTAAGAACTCCTACATACCATTCCTTAATTTTTGTTTGTCCAATAGCTTTGACCTTATCTTCTCCAAGTATTCCTATTGTATCGCCTTTAAAATATTCTAGTAAATAGTCAATTTTATTTTGACGCAACACTGTTTTGAGTGCTGTACCATAACGGGTAATATTTAAAACCTTGTCTTGAAAGGTAGGATATTTTATGGTAGGCAATAATAATAATGGTGCAGATTTTATTTCTTTGCGTTTTTCAATTCGGTTTGGCTTGTTAGTTATCCCTATTAATAACCTAGGAGGTGGTTCAGGTGTTGTAATGTAAAACTGGCATGCCAGGTTATTTTCTGGGACTTTGATTTGAACACGGAAGACAAAAATATGTATTTTCCTATTGCAGATTATAGAAAATGGAAAATGACAGTGAATTACTCCACCACCTCCTTTCAATTTTTCTTCTTTGATTTCTTTCCTTTGTTCTTCTTTCTTCACTTCAAAATCTGGGTCACAGGAGACAACAGAAATGCTGAGGTCTTGTGGTTTCTTCAATACAAATGTGTGTTTCCCCCATAGCTGGAAAATAACTGGAGGCAAGCTCTTTCCTCCCCTTTTAATATCACATACTGTTAGTTTCTCAGGAACATAGTTGTGATCAAACAAAGCAAACACAACAGTGAAAGACGGATGTATATGTTTTGGTCCATAAATCCCAACTGAAAGTTTTCTGTGGATATATTCCCAAACACTTACAAGAGAATTAACTGTATTTGTTTGAGCTACAACAACAATGTACATCAAGTGACTAAGATCTGTTAGTTTCACTTGTACAGTATCTTTATAAATGTAACAATTGGGTGTTTTTTCAAATGGCCCTTCCTTATTGCCACTACACAGACAAACAATTTCAGTCATTACCTGACTAAAAGGATCCTTTTTTATTTCAGCTGCAATTTTCATCTCTAGTAAAATAGCTTCAGTAGTATTAAGGTTGCTCAAGGTAAGTTCAATTAAAGGGGTCAAGGTGGTTGAAAAATCATCATTAAGTGATGGTGGAGAATCAAGGATTGCCTGCAGGCCAACTTCTTGGAATTCTCCAAGTGCCACATGACCTTCAGGGAAATGAACAGCAATATCTGAATCAGGAAGCTGCACTGAACCACCTTCATAATTCACTTTGCAGAATATATGGGTTTCTATAGATTGGGTCTGTGCCCATCCAGGACCCTGATTTATCACATTCAAATCCAGGCAAGATCGGGCCAGTTGTCGTTGATTCAACCAAGCTGTCTTATAGGCCTCACGTTGATTCTGAAATGCTTCGCTTTCGGGAGGTAGGATATAACTGGTTGGTTCTGTATTAGAAAATTCACATCTTACATCTATAATATCTAAAAGATCTGAAACACTCCTAGATTTTGCAGATCTTTTTGAAGGTTTGCGACAAAAGAGATATTCAATATTTAATTCATCTCCTGATGAAGCAGCAGAATCCCTACCATTTGAATCTCTAAAAAATAAATCTGGATCTTCTTTCAGGATAGACACCCGTGTATTGTTTTTTTCTTTGTTGCATGATTGAGCTATGTCATCTAAAAATGGATTAGATGCTGACATTTCCTTCCAAAACGGATTTGTTTTAAACCCACCAGGGGTATCTTGCTTAAATTCTCCAGTCCAGTGTGATTTAAGATGCAATTCATTTTCTTTATTGTCTGTTTTTTGGGATCAGAAAGAGAAAGAGAAATATAAATTCTCATCTCAATTTATTTAAATAAACCTAGAATAAAGTGAAAGAAAACAATATTCATTTATCCACCTAACTCATTTTAACTAGGAATTTCTCTGTCCATCTGGAAAATTATGATTTACTTCAGATTCTGTTTAAATTTTAAATTCAAAAACACTAAATGTAATGTTACCATTGATCAGTAGTTATTTTGAAAGAACTTACTACTCCCAGGCTGACTGTGAAATAGCAATTGAGCAAATATAGAATGTAGTTCTACATTTTTTTAGGAGTAAGATCCCCCAGAATACAATTTGACTTAATCAGAATAAATGTTTAACATTTTTAGGATACAATTGTTATCTTCTTCAAATAGGAGTAGGCTTCAAGGTTCTTCAATGGGCAATGAGACAATCTATGAATACTGATAGATGTTACCTACCCTGGTGCCTAATAGTTTCTCTGATTAGGTTCCACTGAGCAAAGCTCTAAGTATAAAAATGCACTGTTGTAGCCCTTTGGATATATATTACTCATGGTGAGATTGCACTAATAATACCAGCCCATAATTTCACTATTGTTGTTTTTATAGCCAAGTGTCTGTCTTAAATTGCTATGTCCTATAAGATATATGACAGGGAATAATTTGAATTTAGTTTTTGTCTTGGGATTTCTACAGGAGGTTTACAAAGGAGGTTTACAAATTCTTTTCTCGCAGGGATGGAGATCCTATTAAAAAGGTTCCTCCACAAGACATACAATCTTGTGAATTAGTGAATTTTTCCAGAAAGCAGTGATTGTGATCATGTCATTTGCTTTGTTGACTTTGGAGTAGAAAAGCAAAATAACTCACTGAAATTCTAATTGCTTATTATTTTATTCTATATAATGGAATGTTGATTTTGCTCCCTCTCATGAATTTCAGCAGAAGAACCTGGCACAGAAATAATGGAAGTGCTAGCAGAGCAAGACTTGCCATGGGCTGATTAGGCATGCAGTATTCCTCACAACTGTACATACTGACTGGCTTTATGGAATGATTCCAAATTTTGAAATTATAAAACCAAAATGAACAGTGGATGAACTTGCCACTTTTACCACCCCATTTGTAATATTATATCTTTATCTTGATTGTCTCAATAGCAGTTGCCTGAAGACTAGCTCTGGCAAATAGCTTGAATAAGAGATCACAGGTAGCCTTCAACTTATGACTGTTTACTTAATAACCAGAGTTATAACAGACTTGCCCTCTCGAACCTACTTATGATCCTGTTGTCCCAAAAGTGCTTTTCCCAAAAAGCAATTGGATTTACTTGTTTTTTTCTTTGAAAATGTTTTCAAAGACAAAGAGAGAAAAAGAGAAAGAAAGAGAAAGAGAGATAGAGATAGATAGAGAGAGAGAGAGAGAGAGAGAGAGAGAGAGAGAGAGAGAAAGAAAGAAAGAAAGAAAGAAAGAAAGAAAGAAAGAAAGAAAGAAAGAAAGAAAGAAAGAAAGAAAGAAAGAAAGAAAGTCCACTTGCCCTTTTGGAAAAAGCACCTTGGAACAACCATGACCTGGATGATTGAAGATCTCCATTGATATTTATGAGCTTGTTCTGAAGCTTTGACATCTGCACACATTCCCATGGTCACATGACCACATTTTGGATGCTTGGTTCATTTTTATGGCTGGTTGCAGCATTCTGCTGTCACATGAACATAATTTACGACATTTTTTGCTAGTTTCTGACAAAAAAAAAAATCCACAGGAATACATTTCTTTGCTTAAAGATCATGACATTCACTTAATAACCATGGTGTTTGCTTAACAACTGCTGCAAAAAAAAATCATAAAACTTTAGAGTCATAAACTGAGGACTACTGTACTACTACTATGAATACGAGACTACTGAAAGTATAAGGGCTTACAGGAATAATAGAAATTTTAAAAAATCCAAACGGTAATGGCAATCCCCTTTGTCTACTGCCACAAAATCTACGTACATCTATTCATGAAATCACCAGAAAGCGAGATGAACGTATAGGAGGCTTTTTTATCATTTTTTAAAAATATTAAATAATAATACTTTTTATTTTTATCATTTTAATACTAAAGCCCCCAACTATTACAATTGCTGATTATTCATTCTGATCATCCTTCTCTGTATATTTATTCTCTAAAATACTCTTGACAAATTTTATTTGTTTATATATATATTTTAAAAAACATGAATTATACTGGCCTCTCTTCATTATAGTCAAAAGATTCATGCTGAAGTGGCAGCCATTTTTTTATTTTTCCAAAATTCTCACCCATATTGAAAAATCTAACTAAAACATCAATTTTACCACCATTAATACTTCTATAGAATATCTCCAGAATAGGATATATAGAAAACCAGCCCATTGTTTACGGGAATATGATAAATATTTTTCCCTAAAACCACATTTAACATTTTTTTTTAAAAAAAAAAAGCAATGGCTGCAGTGGTGGAGCAAAATCACATATAAGAAGTTCCATAATTTTCTATTTTCTTTGATAAAATATTTTTTTCTTTTTAAAATTCAACAGCAAATTACATTTTCTGTCCAAGTAGTAGAGCTGTCAGTTACATACCTATCCAATCATTTCTTGTAAGACTTCCATCATCCAAGTCAACCAAAGATCCTTCTGATTTGCTCCATGAAAATTCCTTTAAATGACAGGAAACAGACATTTTTCTTCCTAGAAAATTTAGGATAAATGTGTAAACAAATGGAGAAATACTTAAAGCTGCAAACATCATTTAAGATGTGGTATGAGAATCAATATCTAAAAAATTCTTCAGGCATATATGTGCTCACATAAGTCTTCAAACAAACCACCCTCTTTATTAAGGCAATCTTTTCTGTGCAAAGAACAAAGACACCAATTAACAGAAGATTTAGGGTTTTTTTTTAATATTCTGTCTACATGTAATATTAAAGTATTGCATATGGTATATTCTAATAGGCTATATGTCCTTCTGGTTTAAATGTTCAAAATTCTGTTGATGTAAAAAGCAAAACTAGTTGTAGATAAGATAGACAAAAAAAATTATAACAATCAAAAAACAACTTTTCTTCTTACAATAAACAAAACAGCAATAGATAACTTATCTCTTCAGATAGGTTGCAATATGGTTTTTAACTATAGTTTGCTATATTGACTAAGAGATGATAAAATTCAAAATACCTGGATACTATTAATTTGCCTATTATATGTAACTATTATATAGTTACTATAGAGGAAATTCATACAAAAGTAGTGAAATTATAAGACTATATACATCATTATATAATGGAATTTAATAGGATTTATTTTATGGGTATGCACAGAATTGCTCAAAGCTAAGAACAGATGTGTAGCTATAAATTGAAACTCCATATGGAGTTATGTTAGGTTAATTGACAAAAATTAAAAACTTGAATTCAAATCTGCCTTTAAGCATGGAAGTTAATAGAGAGATTTCTCCTATCTCTTAGTTAAAGTGCCCCGATATCCAGATGACATTTGTGTATCTACAAATACCTTGACAAACTCTCTGGCTATCTAGTGCCTCTAAGTCCCATAATAAGCCCAAAAAGTTTCACAGAAAATAAAATGTCTGATAACTATAATCTTGCTTTCTGCTCTATGGGCATTTGGGGATTGGCCAATTATTTTTTAAGGGTCCATAAAATGCTCTCAAAATTCCAAATTTGTCCCCCAGTGAAAAATAAGTGACATTTGAAATTGTTATATACTAAAGAATATTAGTTTATTACATTAATATAGACAGTGTATTGAAAATTTTTAGGAAGATTTAAAAATTAATAATGCATTAACTATGTAAATTTAGTAAGATCATTTTTGTTTCTTCAATATAAAACTACCTTTAATTAATTTAATGGCCATGAACAAAATATAATTTTCTGATTACAGTATTAGCTTATCTTATAAAAAAAATGCTATTGGCAAGTAAGTCTTCATCTAATGACTTTTTTTTAGAGCCAGGAATACTTGGCTGATTTTAGACCTTTATCATTAAATGTGTTTGATGTAGCCACAGTATGAAGTATTCACCTTATCTAATAAAAAAACACTCTTCCTTGAATAAAGAATTGGGCCTATATTTTGATTGCTAAAGCACTATTAATCTTAAAACAATAAAAATCTGCCTTCCACTGATAAGATAGGAGGTACAGATACTTCTTCAGTTAATACCTGCTGTGCTTTTACCACAGCAGGTGGCAACATCTGCCCGACATTATCTGAAGCTAAACAGGTCTTATGATGGGTGACCTTCCAGACAGGGAAACCCAAAAAATCCCAGAAGGTGGCAATGGCAAACCACTGCTGTATTTGTCAACCCCTTTAACCGAAGAGTATGATTTAGGAAGCAAGATTCACATGGACTTTAATTGGTTTTAAAGTCAAGTGTTAGAGATTAAAACTCAGAATCTTGACAATAGATAACGCTCTTTTATTAATGACATTATTAAGGTGGGCGGGGACACTCTGAAACTTTTCGATGTATTTTTCCCAATTTAGTTTTATGAAAAGCTAAGAATTTTCTTTTTAAAAAGTCTGTACAGATAGTCCTCAACTTCATTCAGTGACTATCTGAAGTTACAATAGCACTGAAAAAAGTGAATGATGACCTGTTTTCACACTTGTTGCAATATCCCCATGGTGATGTGATCAAAATTCAGTTGCTTGGCAACTAACTCATAATTATGATGGTTGCAATGTTACACAATCACTTTTGCAACCTTCTGACAAACAAAATCAATGGAGAAGACAGATTCACTTAATGACTGCCTTGCTCAACAACAGAAAACTGGGGCTCAACTGGGATCATAAATCAAGGACTACCTATAACAACCTCTTCCATCTGCTAATGCAGTGCTTTTCAACCAGTGGTATGGATACCACTTGTGGTACATTGGCACCTGGCAGGTAGTATGCGACCATCCTAGAAAAGTGGTAGCAGGGAAGGGAATGAGCTGAACTGGTGACAGCATCCCACAAGCTTGAGTGAGAGATGGCTGGAGCTGCAAAGCTATCAGGGCTCAGCGGAAGCACCAGGATCAGTGCCAGGCTCCAGCTGGAGCTCGGCGCTGATCCTGGCACTTCTGCTGAGCCCAGAAGAAGTGCCGATCAGCTGGAATGTTGCAGCATCTCCAGGGTCTTGTGATTTACATTCAGATTCTTGGCAACTGATTCTTATTTATGATGGTCACAGTGTCCCAGGGTCATGTGAAGTGACCAAAACCTGCTGCAACCACCCAGCAGATGGGGGAAATAAAAACCAAACACCCCCTACCCCATCCCTGCTGTCAATCCTCAAAAGAAATGCTCACAACAATGAAAACCTCAGACAGGAGGAAGAGTGCCACTGGGTGGGCAGGCAGGTGTCTTGCTCGGCTGTGGCTTGGGGGGCACATTTTTCAGTGCCATTGTAACTTTGAACAGTCACTAAGCGAACTGTTGTAAGTCAAGGACTACTTGTACTTTATCACTTTTTTCCTTTTTGGGGGGTTATCAAGTTTTTGACACCTTGCTAGGCGACTGGTGGTACTCGGATGTTGTCATATCCTAAAAGTGGTACAATGGGTGAAAAGGTTGAAAAGCCCTGTGCTAATGTATCCTTCCTCAGTTTTAACCCACTCACCTCTGTCACTGGGAGCCCAGCTCCGCTCAAATAAGACTTTCCCTTGTAATTTGATCTCATTCTCTGCACCTTTATATCTGCTTCAGATTGGAGACCAGAAGAAATGAAAGCAAATAATTTAATACATGATTTTCTAAAACTCAATATGATGAACCATAGGTGGATAACAAAACTGAACCAGAAGAATAATATTCAGTGTGTTCTTGTTGAACTGAAAATATACTGACTAAAAAACGTTTCTTCTATTCATTTTTAAATCACAATTAAAGAGTAGTACAGTAATGGCTACAAAAAGACTACTTATTATACATTCCAATAATGGAGAATAGTGGGTTCTCTGTATGGAGAAAACAAAAGCACAGTTGAGCAATATTCAGCCTGATTGCCATGATTTAAAATAGGCAGGGTAAAGAAAGAGCAAAGACAGCACACTGCTGTTAAACGATGCAAATTTTGCACACATTTTAAAAAGTTTCTGAGATTCTGTAAGAAAAAAGACAGCATTTCTAGAATAGGGATATAACAACAAGGCAGAAAACACATGCTGTTTGTATACAATGTGTAGTGTCACAAATGTAGTAAGCAAATGCCTCTAAAATATTTATTGGAAGCTTGATAATATATTCATCTGAACATAAATAATTTCAATGTCAGATTAAATGAATAAATGCAGACTTTAAAAAAAATATTCATAAAAAGGTTTACTGATGTCTAAACCATAGATGTCCAAACTTTTGGTTTGCCTGGGCCTCACTGAATGAAAAGGATCTGTCTTGGACCGCTTATAAAATATACATATAATGTAGTTAATGTATATAAAATCATATAATAATGTTAATGCTTACAATCTCGTGTGCTGCAATACTAGCTGTCCAGGGATGCAACACCAGGCTGGACATGCCTGTTATAAGCATTAAGAGAGCTATTAGTCACTTAACTAAGAAGCAACTACAAACTCTTTCTATTGTTGACTTCCTACTCCAAGAGAGCCGTTTTCACATCAGATCAAAGGTTTGTTTGTTTTTTTAAAAAAAGGATTTAAAGTCCAAAAGGATGCATAACATGCTTGATAAAATGCCTTCTTCAATTGATATAATGTAGTACACAGAAAAATCAAGTCATTTGAAGTAAACCTATACATGAAATTACTGTGTATATATCAATATCACAAAACTGATGTGAATTCCAAACTCTCTTATTTATCATTCTTTGATTCACTTAATTGTAATTATCTTCTATTGGATAGAAGGGAGAGAATTTTATTGATTTAACTTTATTCTCTTGGAATATCTCTGGAAACATTTTTTTTCAAAGTTTGCTTCCTGAAAAACCTTAGGAGATAGAATCCTTTTAATCAAAGACAAATAAAATTTCATATACATATAGGAACCTTAAGAAATATGACTTTCATTTTTAATGAATATAATGTATTCAATCAAATTATGTTTCTAACATGCTGCGCGAGTTCAACAGAGCCAAAAGTGATTTGCTACCTATTTTCATTTGTACTCAGTGTCCAACATATCTTGCTGCAGTGTCCAAATAATAGTGGTCCTAATACTATTTTTCTATTATGGCAATGTCCTGGTGAAACTGACTGCACCTAAACTTTCGGGAAAGAAGTCTAAGTGAGGATGCAGTAAATGAATCTTCAGTTACATGTTGCACTTCTATGCTTCAAGAACCTTGTCAACCAGCTGAATGGAATTGGTGTTCTGAAGATGCCAAGAAAACTTTCAATGAAACCCATTGCTTTCCAGGCAATTTTCTCTGCCTGTTATGTGAAGAGAGGTTTTTCCACGGACCAGAGGGGGCGTGGTTTTGTGTGCTACCTGTATCTTGTGGATAAGGCTTTCCTTGTTTGTGTGGACTGGTTGCTGGCATGCCGCGGCCCGGTACTGGTCCATGGACCGGGGGTTGGGGACCCCTGCAGTAAAAGATCTTCAAACTGCTTGTCATTGATGACCCATCTAATCTGTGAATCAACAAAAATCCCTTCCTTGATCTTAACATTAGTTATTCTTGGAAACATTTGTCTCAAATAACAAAAAAATTCACCTTCCCTGTCCATTGCTTTCACAAAATTTCCATTAGTACAAATTTTATGTGAAACAAAGTTAAAAATATCTATTAGGCCAACAAGTAGTTCATGTTTTTCTATCCTGGAATCAACTTCTTTTTACTATAATGTGATGATCTTACATGGCTTTCCCATTACTTATGTAAAACAGTAGCTGGTATATCTGAGCTGCGTTCGAAGTAGCAGAGCCCCTACTTTTGGATCTCCACAGATATTTCAGTTGTACTTGGTATATTGGATATGCTTTAATAAGAGTTCCATATTTGTTTTATGGGTGCAGCAGGTAATATTATTGCGTTAATAACTGAAGATTGCTATAAAATGGTATGTGATACATTACAGGCTACATTTGTGATTAGCAACCAAAAATCGATAAGATATACCCAAAAATGTTCAGAAAGCAAAATCTTTTTGTCCTATTCCCCCTTATACTGATGTAATACCAAAGCCAAATGATTTAGCTAATTCATATATTTGCAAGGAATTGAGCAACAGGCTTTAAAAATGCCTTTTGTATTTAAACTGTGACTGTCACATAGTTTTTACAACTATTTCAAGTACTGAATTTTATTAACTCCTAAGAGCAATGACAGGATATTGGCCAATCTAACATTTAAATGGTTTTCATCAGAAAATTTCCAAGTACCTATTTTCAGTCAGCTGGTGCTATTAAATATAAATTGTCTATTTAAAACGCTTAGTGCATTAATATTTTTTCTTTTAAAAAACCTGAACTCTAATTATATTTCACACATTTTTTAAAGAGCAAAATAGTGCTATATCTAAGCATTATGGCCTGAAGCAATGCCAAGAATATAAAACATTTTTAAAACAGTTCAGTTTGTTCCTGCCATAGGCTTTATCACACTTATGCAAAATTCCACAAGGCACAACAAAAGAAAGTAACTATCACCAACATACCACTGATAAAACTGGAAGAAGCTACCAGAAAAAAATAAGGCTAAAAAGCAAATGATAAAAGAAAGTGAATACATAAGAATATAAAAGCTGACCAAATAATTTTGAAATTGAAAACAAAATGTATTCAAAAATTCTGTTCATTTGGAACACTTTTTATTGCTCTATAATGATCACGGAAGAAATGAATACTGTTAATTTTGAGCAAGACTTTTCAACCAGTGGCACGCAGACCACTGATGGTACTTTGGCACCTGGCCAGTGGTACTCGACCATCCTAGACAAGTGCAGCATGGGATGGGAATAAATTGAAGTGGTGGCAGCATCGCAGAAGCCTGAGAGAGAACTGGAGCTGCAGCGCTGTCAGGGCTCAGAAGTAGCCCCAGGATTGGTGTGCATGGCTACAAGCTGATTGTCACTTCTGCAGGGCTATGGGAGCTGGGCAGTGCTGGGCTCCAACTGATTGGCACTTCCGAAAGCTGGAGGTGCACTGAAAAGGAGAAGGGGGGAGAGAGGAGAGGATCTAAAAGGTTTTGTTGGGAGAGGGCGAGCGAGGGGCTGCCCCTACTCCCTGGGCATGCGCACAGGAGGCAGCAGGTGCCCGGCATCCCTGCTGACCATCCATGCTGACCGCTCAGAAAGAAAAGAGGCAGGAGAAGCGCTTCCCTTTCCCCTAGGACAACAGCACTCCACGCTCGCCACCTTTTGTATGCATCCCCAGGGGCGGAGGGTGGCCCTTCGCCAGCTCCAGGGCTGCTCCTGGATCTAAGATTGACCGCGTTCTGGCTTTGATGGCCCCACCAGGTTGTAGATCAGTGCTATGTCTGCCACCAGCACCTCCCTGGTCCGTTCGCTGACCTAGCCTCACAGCCACAAGGATTCCCTTTCACCAGGACTGCACCCCGCCCGTGTGGGATAGCTACAGTCGGCGGCATGGCCACCGGCAGCGCTGCAATGAGGAAGGAAGGAAGGAAGGAAGGAAGGAAGGAAGGAAGGAAGGAAGGAAGGAAGGAAGGAAGGAAGGAAGGAAGGAAGGAAGGAAGGAGAGGTAACTTGGTTGGAGATGCCCCAGTTCACGCAGTTCTGCTTCAATCCTGGATCCATTGAGATTTGGGCTCAAAGGAGAAAGCAATTTTATGTTCTGTTTTGTCACAGTCAGGACTTTGTTGGCAATCCAAGTTAACATTGCTTTCTTGAATTGTGAGCTCTTAGGAAAGTATTCCTTCCTTTTGTGTTGCAAACAGCCATTTCCAGTGAGGAAAACAGGAAAAAGCAGAGTGGGGGGAAACATTTTCCTTTGCTATCATAGCCACCATTTTGACAGTTTTGCTGTACTGTTGTCTGTGGACGCGGGATAAACTGGGCCTGTTTTTTTTCTCAGTCTTTTAAGTGGCCCCAAACTACTGGCATTTGATCACAAGGCATTTGTGGCATTTGATCACAAGGCAAAGAAGCATTGAGAAATGTTTCCCCTTTTGCATTTGAGCATCCAAGAAGGGGCAGGAAAGGAGAAAGGGAAAGAGGAATTTTTTTTCCCCCATCAAGTTAAATATGCATTGACAAGAAAAAAAAATTACAGGAATATTGTTACTATTGATCAATTTAATATGGCTACTAGCTCCTAAAAATTCTGGGTAATTTATAATATTCAGTTATGCAATTAAAAACTATGAGATTTCTTTGAACATTTCTAGAACTTCATAAACACCACCTTTATCAAATGGTATATTATTTTAAATAGAAAACTGTAGAATCTTTCAAGAAAACTTACCTGTTTTTTTATGTGCATCCACTTCATTATTATTCATTAATAAATGCATTCACCTTTAAGACCAAAATGCTAGCTGTTTCTGCTAGACAGCTATTTCTCTGGCCCTTATCTAAAGCTTCCTGCACTGAGGAATACACATATACATTTAGCAATATAAATTAATTTACTTGATTAATATGTTTTCTAACCAATTAATTCAACTTCATTCATTTGAAACACTTAGCTTATATAGTATTGTTTAGATCAAAAATATTTATTTTACCTACTTCCTGCACAGAATGTTATAGGCCATAATGGATTATTACAATATACAGCTCTATTTGTATAGCTAAAAGATACAGTTGAATATTACATTTTTTAAAGTGAGAACCTCTTTATTTGCCCTGGGCTCATAATCAGGATACTATAATGAGGTGTTTAGCTTGAAAAACTGAATAAATCACAAACTTGTAAGTCATGGATAAGCAAATTCTACCAGTTTAATAACTATACAAAATCTGATTCACAGAAACAAAAGTACAAGAAAATAAAACTGCAACTGGAATAGACGCCCACCAACTAAAAACCTCCTTTTTATATTTATAACTCACTTTTGCTTCCCAAAAACTCTGAACGGCGGATATTGTTCTCCCCCACTCCCCGCCCCTGCCCATGTGATCCTCACATAACAGAGAGTTTGACCGAGAATTGCTAGCTAGTTCAGCCCCCTAGTGAACTTCATGGCAAGGTAGCAACTAGGAGGATTTATGCGACTACAAAGAAATCAGTTCGTTTCCACCGTCCAAGCTAAAATTTTATTATTTATTCTTGCAAGCAAAAGAGAAATTACGTTCTTTATGCTCTAGATTGGCATCCACTGCACGATCCGCAAGAATACAGCACAAATTGGAACGAGAAATAAGCTCCTTAATGTGTCATGCATTATGCCATTCAGAATACACATAGTTTTAAAATGAGCTCTACAAAACAAGGAAAAAGAACTCCCACGCTCGCCTGGATGAGAATTTCAAATTTGTGAGCACCCACAAACTCTACCGTAGTATCGCCTGTTAAATGCTGGTAACTTCACAAACTCTTAGCCAATAAACAGAGAGCAAGGCTTGATTAACACAGAAATCTTTACAGTAGAAACTAGAGTGGAATAATAAGATTGTACATATGCTCGAGGAAAGACGGGAGCTGGAGTTAAGTTTCCCAAAAGCCAAACTCAGACTCGGGCACTTATCCCGTGATAGAGCTACACAATACTCTTCCTCGTTTACACCCATCTTAGCTAGTTCTCATTTAATATCTGAAACGTAAAATTGAAACAAAATCATACCTTTCTCTTCCCCAAAATCTGCAGCGATTAATTATCCTGAAGCATAACCTTAGAAATGTAAGGGTGATTCAGGATTCTTGATAATCCCGCGCGGGTTTCCTAAATGTGGAATCGATTACCTTCCTAATCAGAAGCAACACCTCGTCTAGTGGCGGCAACGCCTTCTGGAAAACTGAGTCCTACTACCATTTCGAGCGTCCAATGAGCCACGCGTTTCGAAGAGCTTGAACTACACAACCCATAAACCCATTCTCTTCACCTGAGGTTCCAAATGAAACCAGGAGAACTGGTTTGATTACTAGAGTTTCACCTTGAACCGGAAAGAGAGACGGGGAGAGAATAGTTCAGTTTACATTTTGTTTTCTGTGAAATTTGTTTAGTTTAGCCAGGTTTTATCTCAATAAGTATTTAACTACGTATGTATTCTGGGATATAAAAAAGCCAGGGAAGGTGGAAGTTAACATCTGCTATTACAGAATCTAGATTTCAAAAACGTATTAAATATAGAAAAATAAGATAAGATCTTATTTTTCCAATTATTTGAGAAACTGAACTGCCAGCAAGCAGGCAAATTGGAGTGGACCAACAGCTGTTGAAGATAATACTAAAAGGCAATTAAAGACCTTGTCGATCTCATTGATTTATTGGAGTGGGTGGGAGAGTAATGCAGGCATGGGAGCATTATTCTGTTTGCATCATTCCTTTATTTTAAATTAAATTGCAGTTTAAGAGGATTTTCCTGGGTAGCTCTAGATCAATATACTTCTAGGCAGAGCAATATTAAGTTCTTGGAAGACTACACATAGTTATCTTTGTAGGCCCTGTTGTATAACAATACAGCATTATAAGGTTATTCCTTGGACCTGTATTATTCAATAAGTCACTGTAGTACAGGGATGTCAAACTTGCAACGTCATGTAATGTGTTGTGACATATCGTGATGTTTTCTCTCTTGCTGGCAATGGGATGGGCGCGGTTTCAGCATGATGCATGTGGCCCGTGGGCCAGCAGTTTGACACTCCTGCTTTAGTCAGACATATAATAAGTGTTGTGTCTTGAGCCTGCAAAGGCAGGCTCGGGACGTTGCAATAGTCCCGGGCAGTTGCAAGCTGCCCGGGACCAGACTGGCTAGTGCCAGCGCTTGCACGCATGCGTGAGGTGCGCAGCGCGCCTAAATGTTGCTTTTTGGCTCAGGGATCGTCTTTAAGAGAGGCTAGAGGTTTGTTCTGCTCAGAGTTGTAACGGGGCTACTGAAGACCAATAAAGAGTTCCTGAAACAACAGAATGTCTTGCGCCGTCATTGCCATTAACCGAGGACTCAACACTGGCGACGAAGGTGGGATTGCCTTACAATTATACAAAGAATTGTAAGCTTACCCTGGAGTCCTGAGACAGCAAGGAAACGGCGTTAAATTCAGCAACTGCCTGCCAATACAGCTTCGTTTGAGGTAAGCTGGCTGATAGACCCTTCCTGCTTTACTGAAGATGGCAAAGATAGGGAAACTTTCTGAGTTTGATGTTACACATCCAGAAAGATGGGAATCTTATGTGGCCCGAGCAGAAAATTATTTCAGAGTAAATCAAGTGAGAGAAGATGGCTTAAAGGCCACCACCCTGCTGTGTGTTTGTGGTCAAGATGCATTTGAAATTGCTGAAAATTTAGTAGCCCCTGCACCTCTTGAATCTGTTACTTACACAGATTTAAAGAAATTATTAAAAGAGCATTTTCAGCCCAAGTTGTCTGTTATTGCATGGAGACATATTTTTGAACAGAGGGATCAATGGGCTGGTGAATCAGCTAAAGAGTACATTGCTGCATTAAGAAGAGCAGCTAAGCATTGTGAGTTTGAAGACTTAGAGGAAAGGCTGAGAGACAGATTTGTATGTGGGCTGAGAAACAGAGATGTGCAGCAAAGACTTTTTGCTAAAGAGGACATATCGTTCCAAGATGCCTTGAGAGAGGTTACTGCAGAAGAGGCAGCAAGTGGGGCAATCAAGAATATGAGGCCTATCAGAAGTACTCCAGAAGCTGTTTTCGTGCACCACGAGGGAGTCCAAGGAAGCTCGGAAGAGGAACCTGATGAAGAAGTAGATCATCTCTACCCAACCAAAGAAGGGAAGCAGAAGGAAGGCAAAGAAAAGTCCTCAGCTGTACCCAAGTGCTTCTGGTGTGGAGGTCGCCAAAAGAGGACCAACTGCAAGTTCCGTTCTGCAATCTGTAGAGCATGTGGGAAGCAAGGCCACATACGAGCTGTGTGTCTGGGCCATCAGAAGGTACAACCCCGAGAAGAATTGCGCCTGAAAGGGTGGGTTTCTGTGCTTCACAAAGAAGCATTTATAGGACAGGCACACACAAGCCACTCAAAAAGAAACTGTCACTTAAGGTGAAGTTGCAAGGGGTTCCATTGATCATGGAACTAGACACTGGGTCTGCACTTTCAATCATTTCCATTCACACATTCAGAAAGATTTGTTCTGGTAGTGGTTTTCAGGCCAAGCTTAGGCCTTCTAATATAGTGCTAACAGACTTTCAAAACTCCAAAGTGTGTGTTAAGGGGGAGGCCACCCTTAACGTACAGTATAAGGATTTTGAAGATCCATTAGATGTATTGATAGTGGGGGATGAGCGCACGAGTCTCATAGGACTTGATTGGTTTGAGGCCTTGGGAATACAAGTTACAGGGCTCAATAACTTGCAAACAGTAGATCTACAGAAGTCTGCAAAGAATTTACAGATGTTTTCAGCCCATAGCTGGGCACATACAAAGGGCCCCCAGTTTCCTTGAAATTGGACCCTACTGTCACTCCTATCAGAGTAAAAGCACGAAGGGTACCTTTTGCTTTAAAAGGGAAAATTGACGCTGAATTGGACAAATTGATTCAGCAAGGAGTCTTAGAACCGGTTGATTCCAGTCCTTGGGAAACTCCCATAGTCACACCTCTTAAGGCTAATGGGGACATCCGCATCTGTGCAGATTACAAATGCACTCTAAATAAGGCATTGCAACAACATGCCTCTCCTGTACCTGTAGTCAGCCATATTCTGGCCTCCCTCAAGGGGGGGCGTGTTTTTGCAAAGCTTGACTTAGCACAGGCTTATCAACAGTTACCTGTTGATTAAGCTGCTGCAGTAGCACAAACCATTGTAACTCATAGGGGGGGCATTCAAAGTCAAGAGACTACAATTTGGAGTAAACGTGGCTCCTGGAATTTTCCAAAGTGTAATGGAAAATACTTTGAGGGGTATACCAGGGGTTTGCCCCTATTTTGATGATGTCTTAATTGCAGGAGACTCCACCCAAAATTTAGCTGAGAGATTGAGGGCTGTCCTGCTGCGGTTCCGGAAATCAGGACTTAAGTTTAAAAAGGACAAATGTAAAATTGGGGTGCCTTCTACAGATTTTCTAGGATTCAAAATGGATGCCAATGGGATTCATCCTGCTGAGTCCAAGCTAAAAGCTATCATGCAAGCTCCTAGGCCTAAGTCCAAAGCTGAACTACAAGTTTTTCTGGGCCTCTTGAATTTTTATAATTCATTCATTCCTAATAAGGCTAAGGTAGCTGAACCACTTCATAGGCTTCTGGACAAACAGGCAGTGTGGCAATGGTCACAAGCACATGAAGCAAGCTCCAATGAGGTTAAGGCCTTGCTAACATCCAACAATGTGCTTGCACATTTTCATGAAACTCTTCCTGTGTGCATCGCTTGTGATGCTTCTCCTTATGGAGTAGGAGCAGTACTCAGCCACCTCAAACCGGATGGAACTCAGGTTCCTGTTGCATATTACTCCAGAACCTTGTCTGCTGCTGAAAGAAACTACGCCCAGATAGATAGGGAGGCCTTAGCTGTTGTTGCTGGAATTAAAAAATTCCATGATTTTTTATATGGCAGACATTTCACGGTCTACACTGACCATAAGCCTTTGTTGGGGTTGTTTACCACTAACAAACAGACCCCCCACATCATCTCCCCCAGGATGCTCAGATGGTCAATATTCCTGTCAGCCTATGACTTTTCTTTAATTCACAAACCTGGCAAAGAAATGGGCCATGATGATGGCCTCAGTAGATTACCGTTACAAGTAGTAGAGGCTGATCCTGCCCCGGCAATCAACATCCTTTCAATTCAGGCACTGCCTGAATCACCTCTAAACCCCAGGGATGTGGCTACTGAATCAGCCACAGATCTCACACTCTCTCGTGTCTTATCCTGGGTTTTGTCTGGATGGCCAGAGAGTTGTCCAGGCGC